GATATATAGTGTGCTACTTACGGCTGTCGCTTTTTTTGCAAGAATGAGAAACCCAATGAAATTTGGAAGAGGTTTTTCTTTGCACTGGGTACGGGGATGGTGAGGACTAAGATGGGACAAGAATACCCGGCTGAGTATATATTCCTCATTGGCTGACCTTATCGGTTGGACTTGGACACTGGAAACACCTCGACTAAATACATATCTCAGTTGTGTGCCTTGTCATCATGGCCAATCACGTGATGAGTGGGTCCCACGATATAAAATGGGTTGGAATGCTTATAAACAGAATCGGGGTTCAGTTTTACTAAACGAGGGTAATCTGACCTACTATAAATGGTGTAATTAGTAATACAATGTACTCCCATTTTTCCATTATACAGTACACATTAGTTTTCTCAGGAGTTAAATTCACAAATTTTGATCAAATTTATTACATGGAGAAAAGTATATAAATATCCTCAATACCAAATATACATCTTATGAAATTATATTTTATAATGAATCTATTGGTACCAATTTAGTTTTCTAGATGTTGATCAAATTTCCTGTATACTTGGTTAAAGATTAGGAAATTTGACTCTAAAAATAGCTAATACACACTATACTTAGAGATAGAGGGAATAGAAGATAAGAGCGAATTCACTCTTATATTTTCAAAATTTTAAAGTAACACACAGTTTTTTATTTAGAAAATGAGGTTGAAACTCTAGTCTCTGCCTCAAAAGATGCACATAAACATCTTTATTAAATTCTTATTAAATAAATATCTAACAAAAACATACATCAAACAACCAGAAGTCACCACTCCACACCTACAAACTCAACAGTGTGGGATGCCATTACAATGCCCCCACCATCCAGAACCGGGGTTATCATCGAGCCGCCCGCATGGCGTATCGGGAGCACACATCCGGCTCAGCAGATCCTAAGCACGCACCTGCACACGCTTCAGAAGCCTGATACCACCATCGAATAGTCGACCCATCTTCAGTGTAGAGATCTGCATTATCCTTGCTAGGCCAGCCGTCGGCGCCGCCACGACGCCAAACAGCGCCACCGCCTTGTGCTCGTCCATCAAGACGAATCCGCCTACGAGACTATTGTGGCATACCGCCGAGACCCACCGTCATCGACGTGGTATACACGGGGCCGCTCCACCTCTCGACGCCTCTAGCGGCTGCTCCAAAACGATGACCCTAGAAGGGAGAACCGCGCCAAGCATCGTGTGATTTGAGAAACCAAGATCTGGGGTTTTCTCCGGAGTAGCCCAAGCGAGGAGATGAGACTTGCAATGACGATGCCTTATCCGCCGGGCTGGGCTTTGCCTGCCGGCCTTCCGGCGGCGGTGCGAGATTGAAGGGGAGGAGGAGTAAGGGCGGCGGCTAGGGTTTGCCCCAGCCGCCCCCCTCAAAGTAACTCAGCATGGATGTATGCCTATCTACGGAGCGATATATAGTGATGTGTATGGCTCTCTTGAGTCCGATATAGCATGCACCACGTGATCCCAAGGCCAGGCAATGGACGCGGCCACGACCGAAACCTTGATACCTATCCAAGAGCTGGTGAGGAAGACGACTGAGAGACTTGAATCAGATTTTTACCGGGTTAGGACCAAGATCCACAAATTCCCTCCAGGCCTGCGTTTCGTTAGCAAACACGACCGCTACATCGCCCCGAGCTTCGTGGCCCTCGGGCCGTACCACCATGGTTTACCCCATCTGCAAGAAGCGGAGGAGGTGAAGCACGCGGCGGCTCACCACTTCTGCTTGAAGTCAGACCACCCGGTTGAGGAAGTCTACGGCAAGATCCTCACCATCGCCGCAGAAGCCCGTGGTTGCTACGTCGACGACGCTGTCACGCGTTTCGGCGACGTGGAGTTTGCGGCGATGATGTTCCTGGATGGTTGCTTCCTGCTGCAGTATATGCACGGCCTGGTGCAGTATAATGATGGTTCTATCAATGCAGAATTCGCATTGTTCGCGAACCGGGCGGTCCTATCCACGGGGCCTTGCATGTTGAGGGACATCTTTATGCTGGAGAACCAGCTCCCGTGGTTGGTGCTTGAGGCTCTCATGACCTTTACCCATGTTCCTGTGTGTCAGTTCGTTGCCTCCATGGCGTTCATCTTTGACGCTGGCTCCACTCTAACAAGGTTTCCCGAGGATGAACTCAGGAGGTACAGGCCACCACATCTCCTCGGGTTCCTCCGGTATTATCTCATAGGCAACATGCCTCCCACATATCCTAACTATGAATTTGTCAAACACTTAGCGCTAGCAAGCAGTGCAATCGAGCTCGCGGAAATCGGAGTCCAGCTAACGGCCAGTAATAAGAGATGGTTCGACATGAGCATCCGGAAAGGATACCTCGCTGGTGAGCTCTCCCTGACACAATTGTTCCTGAACGACTACACTGCTAGTTGGCTCGTCAACATGGCAGCGCTCGAAGCGTGCACGTCCACCGGCTGGCCGTCCGATGGCTACACCATCAGCTCCTATATATCACTCCTGGCGATGCTCATGGACAAGGAGGAGGACGTGCACGAGCTGCGAGCTAAGCACCTCGTGCGTAGCTTCTTCAGCAACCAAGAGATGCTAGACTTGTTCAAGGGCCTCGCTTGCCACTTGCGCCTCGGCGGCCGCTACTTCGACATCCTGAAGAAGATTGATGATTACAAGCGTGGCAGGCCTGTGCGGATCGTCGTGCATAAGTTCTTGTACAAGTACTTCAAGAACATCGTTGCTGTGCTCTCTATCGCCGGGGTGCTGGTCGGAGTCTTCAAAACCATCCTGAGTCTCAAGCAATATTAATTAGCGGTTCTTCTGTTTCAATCTTATGGATTCTAGTCTTTTTCGGTGATGAATTAGCGGCTCGATAGCTGGCCATGCAAGGAGTGTGTCTCGCCTATTGAGCTAGGCAGCTCAAACGGCTTTTCAAAATTAGTCCAACTTGTGCATGTTTACTTTTCTACGGGTTTGTTTACCCGAGTCACGCTAAAAAAATTCGAGGTGCAAAAGTTGAAGCTAGAAACGACGACTTCAAAGAACCATGATCTAACTTTCGGTTCTTTTCCGGATATTATTGTCCTTTTTGTTTAAAATATCTTTTAACTGATGTAGTATGCTTTAAAGTTGAATCATTTGCTAACTAGCAAGGCGCCCCTGCTGCTGTCAGAAAAAAAAAAGCAAGGCGCCCCTGCTACACTACTGTATCAGAAAGAAGACAGATCAACATGGTTTACTCAAGTTATATGTCCAAGAATTTAGGCCACACATGTCTCGTGACATGAAACATTATACAAGTAAAAAAGCTAAACAAAAAGCTTGTTGACATGAAACATGAGTGATAAGACTGGATGAGGGAGATAGCACAGGAAGCATGAGTATTCTGGAGAGGATCGTTTTTGTTATTGTGTGCAGTGTATGGTTTTTTCTCTCTTGATAAAGGACAATTTTTTTAAAAAAAACACCCCATATATTAATTAAACCAAAGAAAAGTTCTTACAATCATTCATTACAGCATACACCACGTAGGGTGGAACATAATTAAAAAGAATCCCATCGGACCTAGTACTAAAGCTAAACTTAGCAATCTTATGTGCCACCCCATTGGCAGTCCGACTTATCTTTGCAATATTGATTTTTTCGAATCATCCTAAATATACTCAGAGCCTCATCCATCAGATAACCAGAGGGGACCTGTCAAGCTTCCATTTACAAGAAATGAATGTACGAAAGCACAGTCAATCTCTAAAATAATAGATTGGTGAAGGGTGATACCTATATAAAGTCCTGTGAGGCAGGCACGGAGCTCAGCTTCATTTACACGGGTACACCGATCAATAAAGTCCCACAAAGAAACAATAATATCTCCAGATGAATTACGAGCTACGACCCCCACACTGGCTGCATTAGTACTCTCCACAAAACTGGCGGCGACATTGATCTTGATATGATCATTAGGGGGAGGAGTCCACACCACATGATCTTTTAACAGTGCATAATCCGCTACAACTCTGCTCACCTTCTTCTCACCTTTATTGCTAGCGTCCAATATAGCGGTGTCATGACTAGACGTGAAAGTGGTCTAAAAATTGTCCATAAAATGTGCAGAGGCATTAAAGGATTCTTTCCCCTTCCCAAAAATTAAATCATTTCTCAAATTCCATGCTCGCCAGAAAAGAAACAAGATTTGCTTCCTCTGCCGCAAACCCAATTGCGCCAGCAAAATCAATAACCAATCTGGTCCCCCGTGCACTTGAATAACTCTTCATCCAGAATATTCCACCACTCTTTCACGACCATTCAAAGAGCACGAGCTTTAGAACAACTCACCAGAGCATGAAAGATGTCTTCATCTTGAACCCCACAAATAGAACACATACATGAATCAGTCTGATGGTGCTTAACTCTATTCATCTGGACCGCCAAGCTATTGGTAGCAGCTCGCCATGCAAAAATCTTGATTTTCTGAGGTATATTAGCCTTCCATATTATCTCCCACATCCCTCTTCCCCCCTCTGGTTCGCCACTAGATTGGCCAACAAGATCCTGACTATCCTTCAAATTAAGCGCAAAATTGTACGCACTTTTAACAGAAAATATACCATTCTTCTCATGGTGCCATGCAACAAAATCCCCGCCTGAATACGAATCTTAAGAATTTCCTCCGCATCATGTGGATAGAATAGATACTTGATCAAATTTTCATCCCAGCACTCACACCCGCTCATGAATAAATCAGGTACCAATTTCAACCTGGTATTATGCCTTCTAGCTGAGATTTTTAGGCCATGCCTCCTAGGTATCCAATTATCCCTCCATATATTAATACTAGATCCATCACATACCCGACAAATGAGCCCCTTCTTAAGAAGTTCCATGCCATGTGTAATACCTTGCCAAGTCACAGAACTAGCATGCGGAAACACCGTATCAAGAATATGTCCCTGAGGATAATACTTTGCCTTCATCAACTTTGCACATAGCGAATGCGGGTAAACCAACAACCGCCATGCTTGTTTGGCCAAAAGAGCTTGACTAAAAAACATGAGATCACGGAAACCCATCCCACCCTTACCTTTTGGTCTTGTTAGTTTGTCCCGCACCAACCATTGATTTTTTTCTTCTTTCTTCTTCATCTCCCCACCAAAAGTTCCTTATAATCTGGGATAACTCCTCACAAAGGGAGACCGAAAATTTGAAAATCCCCATAGCGTACAAAGTAGAGCCTGAATTACCGTTTTGATTAAATCTTCCTTGACTCCATAAGAAGCATATTTTTCAATCTAGTTAGAAAGCCTTTCAAAAACTTATCTTTATTATATTGAAACATACCGGCCTTCATTCTACCCTCTGGGACTGGTAATCCAAGATATTTATCCTCGAACCCCTCCACAGTAATTTTTAAGATAACCATAATAGTCACTTGTTTCTCCAAGCTGTATTTTTTCCCAAACATTATGGAACACTTATCGGGGCTTAACATATGTCCAGTTCCCTTCTCATACACCGTCAGAATATTTCTAATTGCTAAAGCTTGATCAAAAGAACCCTTTAAAAATAGCAGACTATCATCTAGAACTAACAAGTGAGAAATATCAGGCGCTCTTCTAGTCAGTCTGAATTCTTGGAGAACTCCCCTAGCACATGCGTCATTAAGCAATAAAGAAACCGCCTCGGCCACAAATAAGAACAAATAGGGAGATAAAGGATCTCCCTGCCTGAGCCCCTGAGAAGGTGAGAACGACTGCAAAAATTGACCATTAAAGCGCACCGGAAATTTCATCGAAGTAACACATGTCATAACACATTTAATCCATTGCAGCGCAAAACCCAACGCACCCATCATACTTTGCAAAAGTTGCCAATCCACACGGTCATAGGCTTTGGCTAGGTCCAACTTATAAGCACAATATTCCCCTCTTAAATTCTTAAACGTACTTTACGAATGCATACATTCAAAAGCTATAAGTGCATTATCAGAAATTAATCTTCCCGGAATAAACACACTTTGGTTAGGGGAAATCATAACATAGGAGCGGTCGCAACCTGTTAACAAGACCCTTGGAAATAATCTTGTAGATAACATTGCACAAACTGATCGGCCTGAAATCTTTGATTGTTTGGGGATTCTTGATCTTTGGGATGAGAACAATAGTTGTATTATTAATACCATCAGGCATAATTCTAGAAATAAAAAATTGTTGCACAGCCTTGACAATATCATCTTTGATTAGACCCCAATTCCACTGAAAAAACCTCGTAGGAAAGCCATCTGGCCCTGGCGCTTTTAACGGTCCCATTTGAAAAAGGGCATCACTTATTTCTTTTTCCATAAAAGGTTTGCATAAATCATCATTCATGTTATCAGTCGCACGGGGCTTGACTAATGAAATGATGTGGGATGGATCGACCAAAGCATCACAAGAATAAAGTTGTTTAAAAATCGAGTTTGTGATACCTTTCATTTCCTCCAGACTTTTCCGTGAGACAACCATCATCCTTCCTAAGAGACGAAATAGAACTTTTTTTGCTCTCCAGGAAGCTTTTCCCTGAAAATATTTTGTATTATGATCTCCCCCTTTAATCTTGTCCAGACGAGATCTCTGCTTCCACAATATTTCTTCCCTGATAAGAAGTTCATCCATCTCCCCTAGAATTTTCTTTCTTTCCAACACAGCAGAACGATCAGTTCTATTTAAAAAATGTGATGTAGGGCGGAACCCTAGGGGCCGATATTTCACGTTTGGAGAGGATCCTACGGGGAATCATGAAGAACGCGCGGAAGAACACGAGGGAAATCACGAGGGAAAACAAGAGAAACACTCAACCGACAAGGGATTGATCACACAAGGGCTAGATCACCGAGGCACAAAGTAACACGAGATCCAAAGTCAACAAAGGACGATACAAGAGTAACCTTTCTTCTCCGTGAGTAGGTCTTGGTTGTCTTCTCCGGATGGAGGCCTTGAATCCGAATGGATCTTCTCCGAAGAAGTGCGGTCCCTCACATGGAGTAGATCCGGTACGGATGAGCAATGCTCTATCTCAAATGAGCTATCACAATGCTAACCCTAAAACATAGGTGGGGATGGAGTATATATAGTCTAGGGGCGAAGAGGGGTACATGGGCCTCGGCCCTACACTGTTCGCAGACAAGGAAGGCCGGATGTCCGGGCGTCGGGCCGGATGTCTGGTGGCTCGCGAGGGGCCGGATGTCCGGGCGGAAGGGCCGGATGTCCGGGCTGGTGCAGATGGCCGTTCTGTTCTCTGGATGGGCGGCGCCGGATGTCCGATGGGAGGGGCCGGATGTCCGGTGCTTCGGGAGGTGCCGGATGTCCGGGGTGATGGCCGGATGTCCGGGCTGACGGGGCAACCTTCTGTGCTCCCTTGACGCCAGCGCCAGATGTCCGGGAATTTGGCCGGATTTCCGGCATGGGGGGCGGATGTCCGGGCTAGGTGCCGGATGTCCGGTCCCTGTAGCTTCTTCTGCAGAGTCCTGACTGTGTAGATCTCCAGGGGCTGGATGTCCGGGGTCCTGGCCAGATGTCCGGTGCCTGGAGGCTGTTCTTGCCTTCTTCCATTGGTTCTCTTCTTCCGTGGACTTGGGGTCTTGACCATCTTCATGGACATCGTCGGTAGGGTCCTCTTGGTACCTAATCATGCACAACATTTCGGACTTAGGTAGTAACCATGTCTCGAGAGGATCATATGAGATATCACTAAGGAGAGAAGTCACCTCGGTCTTGAGAGCTCTAGCTCGTGCTCTAGTCATGGGTCCTCTTGGTGCTTGGTGAGACGATGGGAGG